CCTGCCCCCGTCCTTTCTCTATCTATCTCCTCTCTTTCTGTATCCAACACACACAAGCATGCACGCAGATCAAAATTACGAAATTACATCCCTTACTTTTGTTGTTTAAAACCATTTTCTTCTAGAAGCTGATGACTTGGATGCTGAAATGGTGGAAATGACTTTGGCACAGAACCCATTGGTGGACTACTGCTCGAGAGAAACCCATGGGGAGAAACACTCAATTTTGAAGACCTTGGTCTGTAAAATTAAAATCATATTTGGATTAGCTTTGCAGAATCACAAGACCTAATATGCTTAGACACTAAAACATTAGCTTGGTGCTGCGACTATTGTCCCTCGATTTTGAGTTTTGTTAACTACAATTTCTCATCTCACAAGTAAGAAAAACAACTTCTGAATCACTAGGTAGAATTGCTCTACTGAAGAAACAAATCCAAAATGTCATAAACAAAATAACATTCATTTTTAACTAACCCATGACTTTCAGGAGGCGTGGAACTAAAGAAAAAGCCAACAGAGTTACTTGGTGGACTTTCTGATATGATTCCTAGAGAGTTCCGAGCAGTTCCATAATTTCTAAAGTTGCTTGAGAAGAATCTCTGTCTATGGGACGACTGCTGATTTTGGAAGTTTTTACTTTGCTTCTTCCGGGAATTAGCACTTCCAGACTCTTCAATGCCAATACTACAGTTAGATATTTCTCCAGGCTTCAATTTTGAAAAGCCTTTGCCAACGTTTGATAATCTTGAGTTTGCATCTCTATTTTCATAGCTGGGGCTGTTCTTTTTACGATTTGATCTCTTGGTTTTCAGTTCCTGCTAATTGATTATATGTTAGGACAGTGAAAGTACAGTAATTAACAAACTCCATTGGGGTTTTCTCAACCTGCTCATAGAAGTAAAGTCCATCGTTTATAGCAGACGCGAGCTCATTGGAAATGGTTTTTGATTCTTTATCTCCAGTTTTAGATCCTTCACCGACTGTACTATTCTGCACAGCAAACAATGAAATGTCAAATTATCAAAATGCTAAAGACATTAAATTAAAGTCCCATGCGTGAAACAAACGTAAAAGGACCTCGTATTCAAAAGACATAAGTTCAAGAAACATCTCTTTTTTATGGGATGAGGCAGTTGTTGCATGATTCATTGGTAGACTAGCAGATTAACACTTTTGATACGACAAAGATGCCTTCACAGCATATAGAAAAGATAGATGCTCTAAAACGCTATTTAGGCATTAAAGGAGTTGTGAAACTAGACAAGTTAGTTGCAATAAATGAAAGTGAAACTGACTGGGATAAGTTTGTTTATTTTTTGGGAAGAATATCCTGATGGTACCCCTGACACATCACCCTTTTCATCTTACCATACTACAATCTTAAGCACCAGATATACGTCTGATGAGGTTGTATTTGCACCAACAGAAAACAGATATCAAATACATCCAATAACTCAGGGGGTCGCATTCCTATGTGCAATACTAATATTACTCGT